AAAAGACTGAAGCATTATATAATAAAAGTGCTTTAATGATGTTGGTAACAGTTAAAGTTTGCACAGAGATTTTTTAAAAAACTCTGATAAATAGCAGACAAAGTGAAACTACTGAAATAAAATCAAAATAGAGGAAGCCTCTATAACTGAAATGGAGAGCGCAGCCAGGAGAGCTACATGACACATCCATTGCCAGCTGTGGAAAATTATAAATTGGATCACTTCTGGAAAAACTGTGGACCTCTTTTAACTCACCATACCAGTGCTGGAAAAAACAGCAAACGTTTGACTACCATAACAAATTCTAAGAGCAACACAAAAAAATATACAATTGCTGTAAACCCCTGCACAGCAATGAAGATAAATATACCTCTGGAAAGACTTACTTAAAAAACTTTTCAGACACATCTTTGTTAAAAAACAATACACAACAAAATGAAAATAAAAATATTATAATCTGTAAGACTGGCAAAATCATACACTAAAGGCAATACTCAAGAGACTGAGTTACAAAATATTTCACCATGTTTCACAGACAAAGTCTTTTTCTGGCCATGCTGACTGCAGCTGTACAAGCCGTAGGAAAAACGGAGTGCTACTACACTTGAGGGCTTGGGCTGGCTGCTGACACAGCACGGGAACCCTCCTACCAGAGATTTCCTACGCCCCTGCAACCACTGTCTTCAACGCATCACTGGTCTCAACACTCGTTTTGGTTTCCTAGCAGTTCTGAACAAAATACTGGATTCTGAACTGTCCCACGCATCTTTGCAAGACTCTCCCTTGGTACTCTCTGTTTACAGGATGAACGGGTGTGTACGTGCGCACATGCCTGCGCGGAAGGGAGGGAGGATATTTTAGGTCCTTTCTCACCTTAACTAAGCATGGGAATGACAACATGGTTAAAATGACCAGCAACTATACTGCACTTAACTTTTTGTCAAATGAAGACTAACAAGAAACATAAACCAACACCATTGTTTAGAAAGACTCTACAATCTGCTATTTCAGACAAAGTGACACCCAAAGTCTAATACATATTTATCTTTGGTCCTTTGTACACAGCCTTTTATCAAACTCACCCAGAATACCAAACTCAGCGTCTGTGTATGTGCATTTACCAGTGATTAAATATTTCAACTGGTTCTCTAAAATATGAGGAATAAAAACTCTCCTAAATTTGGCATCTACCAAGTGATAGAAAACATTTTATTCTGAAAAATGCGCACTTATTTGGTTTGGTAGTATTTTCACACAAAATTAGTTCAACATAATAAAATCCACACCACTCTGCAATTAAAATTTTGTAGGGAGTTACCAAGTGTCCATAAAACTTAATTAAAGAACAATTATGTAGATAACTGTTCACACTACCTGTTCTCCAGCCTTGAAATCTTGAAGGGCTACACATTCACACCGGTCATCTTCTAAATTGTAGCCTGTAGTGATCTATCCAAGGAAACAGTAACAAAAGCAACTTTAGCATTTTATATTTATCTCTCCCACCACTGACAAAATATTGTCCTATGGGAAACAGATATTAACAATAGCAACTGCGTACATTCCTTTCTCTGCACAATATAATATAGCTGGTAGTGATCGTTTAACAGTTCCTAAGCAACCTCTTTTTTTTAAAAAAAAAAAAAAATAATCCCTGCATTAAGGAAATCTAATGAAGGAAATACCTTACCTGAAGTGAACAGAAGGTTCTGAGGAAAGTACCCTCCATAGACCATAGACAGTCCTGTGCTAAAGCTGGCAACTTGTTATAAAGTTCTGGAACTTTCAGTCACTCCCACAAGGCCCAAGGGAGCAAGGCACTGTCAGCTCTACACGCTGTGCTTTATCCTTCAACTACCAGCACATTTTTGATCTCTCAATGAAAAACGATTAGATAACTGTGGATCTTTAGGGAATACAATCTTCGGAGGATTATAATTTACTTGCAAATAATCCCTTTATCTAAAAGTTAAGTAATACTCTCAAAAATGCTAAAAGGATTTTTTTTTTTTTATGGTAGCAGGCAATGGAAGAGGATAAACTTTTCTAACAAACCTGTACTTCTCTGAAAAAAATTATGAAAGGGTAAAGGGGTCACACTAACAAGTAAAACTATCCTAAAAATGTAATACTTTTAAAAAAAGTGACAAACAGCATGTTCTTATATAGTATTACCAAAGGTGCTGGCACAGATGCAGGCACAGGATGGATCCTAAGCTGCTGAACAATCGGGAAGCAACTTTTACAATAGGCATTCTGAACTTAGTACCGATGGAGCTAACTTAGGGAAAAATATGCTCTGGGCCTGGGGAAAAACCTAAAAGAAGCCAAAGATTCTCTCTCAGCCTTTGTAAATGAAAATACTTTTTTTGTAAGCTGACTGACACGCAAGTTGTGGTATACCCCGATTCCCATCTTGGATGCAGTTTGTCCAAAGACAGAGCTCCATGGATTATTTTGAAAGCTTGGTTGATAGTTTACACGTTAATAGTTTTACGCTGCTTGCATCATCAAGCATGCATTTGTCAGCCAAAACAGTGCCTTCAAAGCGAGCACAGAGAACTTGCCTCCGACGCAAATCCAAATCCTCCGCAGCCTGGCCCTGCGGAGGCCTGCAGAACTGCTCTGCACATGGATGCCACCACTTCAGGTCTGTTAATGGGTTTGTGGTACGTTGAGATCAGAAGAGAACACAAGAGTCATGCAATACGGCCTACTGCAAAACAGAGGCTGCGGTACTTGAACACAGAAATTCCTGTACATTCACTATGCTGGACTGAACAATTTTTAATTAAGATCTCTCATTTAGAAAGTTATGTAACCCTGAATTGCAAGTGAGGTTACAAGTGCCAGAGGATTTACCTTCACCATGACAAATGTACCTTCTAAGTTCAAATATAGTCATCTTCTAAAAATCTGTAACTTCCATTCAAAACAGAGAACTCTTGACAGCACTTGACCTGTCCTGAAATTTTCTTAGTGTGCAAACTCAATGAAATACTTTTGAATGTGAAAAGTCCATTACAGTCTCTTGAAATGCCTGTTGGAACAGGAGGCTTTCAAGGACTGTGGAAATTCCAGTATGTTAAAAAGAAGGATTCTGTCAGTTTAAGTATGCTTCACTAGAGTACTGCTCATTTTTTAAAATGCGGTGGTTTTTTTTTATTATTTTTGCCTTTATATAAAAAAATAAGAAAACAAAAAAAGCCAGCAGCACTTCTGAAAGGCTTTTCTATAAAGCATAATGGAGTGCTAGACTCTTATTTCCTCTTTCTTTTAATAGCAGTCATGTAAGAGAATTAACAGGGTGTTTACTTCTCTTCCCACATGATAGCTGACAAATTGCATCCCTTCAGTTTTATTTCTGAAGCAGAGTGATACATGAATTTCGAGTTGCATATAAAGCATGCAATATTCTGCTTGGTCAGTGATTAAGGATGGACCCAGCCCAACAGGCAGAATGTAGCTTATTCAAAGCTCTGTCAGAACTGGTAATCAACCTCTGACTGTCAAAATACAATCCCACTAAAGAATAACAATGAGAAATGCATGAAGACAACCATTTTGATATAGTTCTTAGAGGTAGGTTGATCTAATTAATTGTGTCAGAAGCAAGAAAAAGCTGGATGGACCTAGATCCAGTTAAAATCCAAAGAGCATTTTATTACCCAGCTATGGAAAGAGGCCCTGTGGAATTAAGCAAGAACAGGGATATATAGTAGCTGATTGACTCAAGAAGTTATTTCAGCACTGCATTTGGGATAGACCAGACAGGAGCACATACAACGCCATCTTTTTTTTTTTTCTTGCTTTTCTGCAATAAAACCCAATTCCCTTCATGTATTTTAAAGGTATGCACAATGATTAGAGCAGAACCCACCCTCATCTCGCTCTACAACAACATAAACTACAATACAGACAGCTTACAGTTATCTTAGCAGATTTCCCCCCCTCCCCTCCTATTTCTAATAGTTCAAGGAAAATAACACACCACAAAAACAGGTTTAGCAGCTTTTCTTAGCCCATTATCATAGAATGGTTTGGGTTGGAAGAGACCTTAAACACCATCTAGTTCCAACCCCCCATGCCACGGGCAAGGACACCTTCCACTAGACCAGGTTCCTCAAAGCCCCATCCAACCTGGCCTTGAACACTGCCAGGGAGGGGGCAGCCACAGCTTCTCTGGGCAACCTGTGCCAGGGTCTCACCACCCTCACAGTGAAGAATTTCTTCTTTATATCTAATCTAAATCTACACTCTT